CTTTTTTTTTTCCTTCTTCTTATTCTTCCTCCTCCTCCTCCTCTTTCTTCTTATCTTCTTCTTCTTCTGGGTTCTGTCCCTTTTTTTTTTATCTTTCTTCTTCTTCTCTTTCTCTTTCTTCTTCTTCTTCTCTTTCTCTTTCTTTTTCTTCTGGGTTCGGACCCCTTTTTTTTTTTTTTTTCTTCTTCTTCTTCTTCTTCTCCCTCATCCTCCTCTTTCTTCTTCTCTTCTTCTTCTTCCTCCTTCTTCTTCTGGGTTCGGTCCCTTTCTTTCTTTCTTTTTTCTTCTTCTTCTTTTTCTTCCTCCTCCTCCTCCTCCTCTTTCTTCTTCTTCCTCCTTCTTCTTGGTTCGGACCCCTTTCTTTTTTTTTCTTTTTTTTTTTCTTCTTCTTCTTCTTTCTCCTCCTTCCTCTTTCTTCTTCTCTTCTTCTTTTTCCTCCTTCTTCTGGGTTCGGTCCCTTTCTTTTTCTTTTTTTTTTCTTCTTCTTCTTCTTCCTCATCCTCCTTCTCTTTCTTCTTCTCTTCTTCTTCTTCTTACTCCTTTTTCTGGGTTCAGTCCCTTTATTTTTTTTTTCTTCTTCTTCTTCCTCCTCCTCTTCCTCCTCCTCCTCCTCCTCCTCCTCTTTCTTCTTCTTCCTCCTTCTTTTGGGTTTGGACCCCCTTTTTTTTTTTTCTTCTTCCAATTTCAGGTTTTAAAAAAAAAATTAAAAAATTATTTTATTTGCCACATGGCAGACATTTGGTAGCCACGTCAACATTTAACAGATCCATGGATGGAAAATCTAACGATTGTATGAAATTAAAATAAAATAGTACTTGAGGTATGAAAGTGAAATGTTTTAAAGATGTTGTATAAGATTGCAATAGACCTCAAAACTGAGGGGTTAGTATGTAATTTACCCTTTTTTTTATATTAAAGGTAACATTCATTACTTGCAAGTTGCAACAACAAACTTTGCAATACAAATGATCAAAATTTACACCAAAAAGGCCCAGGAACAACAGTGGCCCAGAGCTGAGACCGAAACAAAAGAAAATTGAAAACAGCCAATTCTGCTGCATCTTCCGCTAGAACCATCAAAACAGCAGCCGTGCATGTTGATCTACACAAATTCTTGCCCTTAATTAAGCCTCACCTCATCGATACCAGCATCCAATCCCAAGCTTTACTCCTAGCACAGCTACAGACAACAAAGAACCTGTAGCAAATTGAAAGAAGCTCGTGGGAATCCACGGGCAACACTGCCAATAAAGGCAGACAACAAAAAGAAGGTGGTAGTGCGAGGAACACCCAACCCAGTGGAAGCATCAGATCTATACTCACCGACTCGAAACACCGCAACAAATCACGGCAAAGTATGATTGAAGCTCGGAAATTGGAGGAATATCGAATATAGATGAGACACATCAGAAGGGAGAGAAAAAGGCAAATCAGCCAAGAAAACTAGGGAAAAAACAGCAGATGGGAGAAGAGAAAGATAAAAACAAAGAAACAAAAGAAAACCCACCAATCCTAGCCGTAGCTAGGATAAGCGGCACCAGAATTGGATTTGAATGTGTATATTTGGATAATTAAGGCTTAATGGTATATACTGCATGACACCTGTCATTCCAATATTTGTAGAGGCATGATGAATTTGGAAGAATGATCCCGAGCACTTCAGGAGCACGTAACCTCCTCATGTCCTGTCAACAACTAGGCCAACAATTTCCCTGTAAAATACTTTCCGACCGTTGAAAGGCAAGTTGGTGAAAATCTTTAAGACACAAGATCCCAGGAACAGAGGGACAAGTCTACCTAGACATCAAGTCTAGGCTACTAACACCCAGCTGAGGAAACAGATGGCTATGGAAGAAAATAAAAGCTGATAGTTAGGGCACTTGATACGAATATCCACCTACCCCAAAGTCAAGCAAGGCGATCGACTACGTTGTCCCAAGAAAGCGCGCAAGTGTACTTGCACAAATGCCACCTCATTGCCACATGTGGAATAAAAAGCAAAAGGACAACTAAAAAAGGGTCAAACAAGTACTCCTTAAGAGCATGTCCACCCCTAAAGACTTTGCGCCAGCACCCAGCGTATTTATCCACTCAAGTGAACAGTAATATACCACAGTGAATATAATAGGCCAAGGCATTTCCACCCCTAAAACTAAATAGCCTAGTCAATTTTATAAAAATATTAGCCGCACACATACTCTCTTTCTCTGTGCAATTCCTTATGCACGGTACATCCATCTCCCCCAGTTGTCTCCCCCCCTCTCTCCCCTCATCAGAACCCAGAAAAAACAAGCAAACCTAATACCACCGCCAAACACACACCCAACACACCCTGGGACCTCCTTCTGCATCTCTCTCTCCCTCTCTCTCTATCTCTCTCTCTCTCTCTCTCTCTCTCTCTCTCTCTACCCATTTCGCTCTGCACCCCTGGAACCTCCCTCTGCAACTCTTCCAGTCTCCCCACAGAAAAATGAAAATCCGCACCTTGGGTTTTTCTTGGTTTGCCGTTGCTTTCTGGGTTTGTTTATATGTTGTTTTGTTATGCTGTAGCTCGGAATCAGATGTTGTCACCGGGAAAAAACTCAACGAAATTGTTCTCCAGCTCGGCCCCAATCGAAAGAATCGGAGGTTGTCACTGTGAAAGGCACGCGCTAGGCAAATAGCCTGGCTCCTTGGTCAGTCAGTTTTGGACTGGCCTAGATACCAGCTTAGGCTGGGTGCCAAGCAAGTTGCTGGGCTAGAGTGAATTGACATGGTGTCAGCCTGGTTTTTTGACTAAGTGTTGGGCTATTCCACCTCCGGTGAAATTGCTCTAAGAGGGCTCATAGGAAGTGATAGACTCGAGCCTAGGGAGTTGAGGGCTCATAGATGACCTATATAATGAGGACAAGTACTCCTTAATAGGGGTCAAACAAATTGAGATATAAAATATGCTTCGAGCTCACCAAGGGCCGACTCATGACCATTCTCCACTTTGTTAACGTCACTAGTTTTGAGCATTAATAATATTATTGCCTCCCAATTTAAGAAAATTTTTATTGTAACTATGTACACTATACATATCTGATTAAAGGTTTAAAATTAAATATTGATGGTCAGTTTTTGTAAATGTTTAATTCACTAGAAGCATCAACAACAACAAAATAGTTGCAATTCAACAGATTATAGGTGTATCATTTGCCACAGGACAATTCACTATGTTGAACTAAGAGGTCTTAAGTTTATATTTGAGATTCTTTCACTGATATTTTTTTTTACTGTTATTCCTCTTGGAGCGTATAAAAAATATTAGATCATAAAATTTCAAGATGTGAGCCAAATCAAGTTATAATATAAGCATATTATATATTTTATTTGGTTTTAATTGGTTGACAGGTTTTAATTGATTTTTTTTTACATGGAAATGAATGCTAGATAAAATTACTGCATTGTGACCATAACTGTGAATACAATAACGGGGAAGATAAGGGGCTGAAAGAGTTCAAAAGTAAGAGAACAACAAGGATACCTAGCAATAGTACTATTTACGTCAAACGAGGCTAAAATGCCTATGTGAATCTTTTTGGCCCTCGAAAGAGGTGAATAACCTTAACTTGCCATCAATTGTTCATTTTTTCTTAAAAAAAGAAAACCAAGAGGCAAAAATTAAGGAGAAAGGGAGTTCCTCTATTATGTTTATTATGTTGATCGTTTGTATATTATGTTTATCATTTGTAATTACAATAATTGTATCTTGTTGTATGTAAACTGGTTTTAATATACACACACAAATATATATAATTGTCATTGGCTGGTTTTTGTATGAAAATATTGTAGAATTGATGTGTTGTACAATCATATCGTTTTCATGTGTGTTCACATTTCAGTATGTGAACTCATGATCGTTTTAAATCCTTAAAATAATATATATTTCACAATTCATATGTCACTTCATCTCCATGTGTGGATTGAACGATGGAGGAGTAGCCATCAAGTTGTGTCTACGCGTTTAGTTCATTCAATGCTACATCGGTTAAGCACTTAAGAGCACAAGACTTTTGGGGCTCATAAAGGGCTATATAAGAGGGACGAATACAATTTATAAGCGGTTTGACTCACAAGAGAAAAGAAACATCACATTATTGAGCACTTATTGTAATTCACATCAAATATTTACAGAGCATTGCAATGGATGTAGTCCAATTTTGAGAGTGAACCACTTAAACTTTGTTATCAGTTACTTAAGTCTTTATCTCGAGCTCATCAAGAGTTGACCGTACTGGTTTTGTTAATCTCCTGGTCTTTATTAACCTCCTGATTTTGAGTGCCAACACAGTAATATCACACAAATTTGTATCCAATGTGAGTAGCTTTGAAATAACCAATAAAAATATACGGAAAAAAAAAATTAAAAGTACTTATGTACACCTTATGAAAAGGTTATAAAAATGTTAACGTCCATTGAACAAAAGAAAATGCCAACCTTATGAAAGTGAAAAATGTCGAAATAAAAAATTACAATTTTTACCACCTAAAATTACAATTTTTACACATTCATTTTCGCTTTTTATATACTTTTTTATATTTTTTATCGTTGAATTGAATTTACTCTAAAGATAAAATATAACATAATAGCTCACTAATCTAGCTCTATGAAACAGAAAATGTATTAGCACTCAAGTGATCCACCAAAGCAGCGAGTCCATGAAAGATTAATTTTTTAGTGTCAGTAACGAAATGTTCTGTATGAAACTAAAAAACATATGTGCATATATCATTTGCCCAACATTTATGTAAGAATGCTAGTGAAAAAAAAAAAACCTTTTAGAACGGCTCTTCTACCCTTTTTGTGGGACCCATCTTTTCATATGCCACAGATCTACGGTCTTACTTCTACTGACTCGTCCAAAATGTACGGAATAATGGAAAATTCCACTGCAGTGATTGATGAACGTCTGAGATGCGCAGGTGCAGAAGAATAACGGTAGACCCTCAGCTCAAGGAATACTCGACTCGGATCCTCCTCCTCCTCTCTTCTTCTTCTTCTTCCTGCTTTCTATCCTTTTCTCTCCATGCGTGACTTTGCCCTCGGCGAACCGTATTGGACTTCCTACAGTCTTCAATCCATTATCGCAACCTCTCTGCTACTCTCTCTCTTCATCTCACCGTAATCCGGACTTTGCAAATTCAACGTCCAAAAATGGGCTCCGAAGGATCAAGCGTCGTCGGTGAGCCTCGCAAAACCCTAGATTTTTCACCTTTTTAGTTAATTTTGCATTCGGCGAAGTTTTTCGCAGATTAATTGTTATATGTTGATTTTGTTCCTGAATGATCTAATTTCTTGGTTTTGTTTGAGCTAAATTGCATTTTTTGGGTCTGTTTTGCTTGTTTGTAAACCTAGTGAAGTGGATTTTTGATTATATTTGCTTACAAATTTGGTTGCTTGGTCCTGAATTATAGGGTGTGTTGTGAGCTTGATTGGTCCTTTTGGGTTATGAACTAAGTGCGAATTGATGTTAGTATGAAATCAATGTTGGGATTTGTTAGCCAAAAGTGTCCATCAAGGATCGAATCATTCCAATCTAATTTGACAAGGAATGATGAAGTTTGCGTGGACGGTGGATATATAACGTTAACGTGTACGGTTGAGCCTTCGAGGTTCATCTTTAACCCCTCACTAATTACTACGGTACCCATGCTATTTTATCAGTGAGGCTACTGCAAGTTTTTTGGGGCTGGCTAAGGTGATGTTATGTGAATGGCAATGATTTTGGATTATCTGTCCTCTTGGCCGAAAATTGTGATAAGAAACAAGATATAGATTCAGAAGTCATGTTGTGCCTTAGTCACCCCGTTCCTTCTTCTTCTTTTCCCTGTACTTCTGTTTCTTTGAAGCATTTTCCTCCGTGAATGGTTGCCTAAATCGTTATGCACTTCCTTGCAAAGAAAATTAAAGAAACCTCCATTCTCTCCTATAAACACGGTTGCCCATTATTCTGCCTTCTTTAATGTGTCAGTTCCTCCACAATCCTCTTGCTGAACATAACTCCATAGTTGAATCTAACCTCAAATTTGAGATTAGATTCACCAGTGCCAAAACAAACGCCTCATATATTTTTAGCATCCTTCTCTTACAGGGGAGGCAATGTAATTTCTAATATGAGACATGATTATTCATCTTTTGTGTTAACATTATGTAAAGCACTCTAAAAATGGTATTTGATTGGGTACATCTCTTCTGGAGGTGGAAAGGAGCACTCTGAGGCCCAAGATCATTTTAAAAGACCATTACTTATCATCTAGAGAAAGTGTCCATGTCTTTGCTAACACAAGGGTCGTTCCACTTTTCAATAACCATTTTTCAGACGGTTTCTCCATAGAGAGTGCAAGATTGTAGTGTTTTGGCATACTATTGTAAACACTTCTCATTTCTCTCAACTTGGAAATTATAACACCTGCCTTTAGCTAATGTTCTATTTCTTTCTGAAAAGAATTTATAGAACCTCTGCTGTTATTGAGGACGTGAAAGCCGATGAAAGTATTTCTGCCAGGAGTTTTATTGGTAAAATATATAAGACTAAAAAACGGAGAAAGCCTGGGGTATTTCCCTTTTTGTATTTGTTGAACTAGCTTCTAATTTTGTGATGAATTTGATGTGATTTGTGACTGAAGCTGCCTTTGGTTTTCTTTGTTATACTAAGTAGATGTGTCAATCCTTTTTGTTAGACAATTGTCTTATTCCTGTTGTTCGTGATTATTTGTTACAGTATGGCATTCATTATTATCAAATCATGCAAGAGTTGTAATTATGTGTCTTGACTCTTTTTTGTGTGTAGTTCCCAGGAATTTCAGATTACTGGAAGAGCTTGAGAGGGGTGAAAAGGGAATTGGGGATGGCACTGTTAGCTATGGAATGGATGATGCTGATGATATTTATATGCAGTCATGGACAGGGACAATTATTGGACCTCCTAATGTAGGTTCCTTATTCTTTTTAATTTTCCTTTTTTAGGTAAATTGCTGCCCACAAATGCGCATTTAAGTTAAAAAAAAAAAAAATCATGGAATGCTGCCTTGAATTAACATCATTCTTTGAATTTAATGTCTTGCCGATCTTGCTTCTTGCTAGACTGTGCACGAAGGGCGCATTTACCAGTTGAAACTGTTCTGTGGAAAGGACTATCCAGATAATCCACCAACTGTTAGGTTCCAAACACGAATAAACGTGACCTGTGTCAATCGTGATACTGGAGTGGTAGGGGATTCTTACCTGCAAATATGTTCCTTTGTTATGGTTGAAACAAGCTGACGGGTGGACTAATTACCAGGTTGAACCCAGTCTTTTCCCCATGCTTGCCAATTGGCAAAGGGAATATACGATGGAGGACATATTGACACAATTGAAGAAAGAGATGATGTCACCACAAAACCGAAAGCTAGCTCAGCCACCTGAAGGTTTGTTAATTTCTGCTGTTTCCTGCTGAACATGCTTTACCTTTTTATGTATTTTAAAGTTTTATTAGCAGAACTACACTATTCCTTTATCGAATATAGTTGCTTCTATTGTTTTCCTTCTGTTCATATCATGTCGAAATGGAGAGTCAATATTTGAATATGTATTTTCAGGCAATGAAGAGGGAAGGGTCGATCAAAAAGGGCTTGTGGTGAAATGTTGCATCATCTAAGGTCAGACTTGAACGAACACACGACACTTAATGTAGTATACATGTAGAATGATACCTGGTAAGGAGCATCTATGTGCTAATCCTGCCTAATGTAGTTAAGGATCGCTCCATCTGGAACAATGAGCTGTAATGTCTGTTCTACTATTACGTATGGTTTTGGCAGACAGACTTGTGTATGTGATGTTTTCCTACAGTTATTTACACACACGTTGTTTATACTTCGGGCATGAACCGCCTTATTTTGTAGAAGCTGAGTACAGGTCCTTGATAAGGAGAGATATCACCATGTTACGAGGACTTGTACATACGTCCACTGCATTCTTGAATGTTTACGTGTGTTTTTAGAATGTGACAGCATTGTGTTTTGTCGTTGTTGTATTTGCAGAATTGGATGAACGGCTCCGTAGGTTTATGAGGATGTTATATTTGACTGGCTGCTTCTTAGATTTTATATCGTGAAAACGTTTAAAACCGCTCCAAATACCGAGTGGGTTATGCGGGTACATGATATGTAATTATATGAACCAAAGGACGAAAGGACTATGAAATATCGATTCTTCAATACCTTTTGTTTTCCTTTCATGACCGAAGCGGTATAGTTTGATACTAAATTCTAATCAAGACAATTATGTTTGTTATGAATGATGATTAATATTTGGTACAACCAAATATTAGAACAACTTATGTTCAACTCCGAAGCCAAAGGGGCTATTTATGTGAAACCAATTATACATTGTGATGTTAAAATACATATTATTCAGAGTGCATAGATATTATTGTTTTTCGTCAATGCAAAAAACGTCATTTGACTGCATGAACAGTTGTTGATCATGGTAGAGTAAGTCAATTTTTGCTTTTACTCTACCATGAAAACGGATTAAGGTAAAGTATCATTTCCCAAAACAGGATTTCTTAGCTGTTAAGCGACAAGCAACGAAAAAAGGAGAATCACCAACCCCTCCATTTATTTATAAAAGAAATTTGAGGAGGGAAAAGACTTAAAAGAGGGTAGAATGTCGCATCGCCATCACTTAAGAGATAAGACTGAGAGATGTGGTCGATCAAAAAAACAACAAAGAGATTATAACTAGGTAGGGCTGGTGACCGGTAGAAGTTGTGACAAGGTAGTCGTACTAGAAGGGACGGTTGAATCATCTCCGTTTCAGTGAGAGATAATACTTGTTGAGTATTTTAGTTTGACATTATTTAACACCTAAAAAGAAGTGAGCTACGTATGAATAAAATTTAGAGATAAAAATCGTCTTTCATTTTTCAAGGTTGAATTAACACGTATATGGATTTAGTCGAGTTAGTTAGAGCATTGTACTGCGCCTAAGTTCGAATATAATTTAAATAAATAACATATACCTTATCGTTTGTTAGAAAATAAAAAAGTATTTTTTTTTTAACTTTGCAAAAGACAACAGTAGTAAAAAAACAATACATTAGGTAATATTGATGCAGATGGCGAAGCTTCGTTCACTTGGACATTTGTGGTTTTGAACTCGGTGGGAGGGAAAGCTTCTGATTTCTGAAAAAGCAAGGGAGGAAAGAGGTCCCAGAACAAACAAAAACCGCCGTGAAAGGTGCTGTTTGCGTGGATAAAATAGGAAGAGCGTTCACACTTGAGACTTGAAAGAGAGCTGAGAAACTATGGGGAAGTGAAGTAACAGCTAATATCTGTTCCTGTAAACCAAAAGCAAACGTAAAAGCTGATGTGGTATGTATCGAATTTCTGTATTCGAAGTTCAAAGATTAGAAGATTTGGACCGTTGAAAAGAAAGATAAATACATTCAAAATTTTTCTTTACTTCATATAAGGTGAACTAATAAAATACGTTAATGCAATCGCATTGCTTAAAATGACTTTATCTAAATCTCATAATCTTTGTACTCCGAGCAAAAAAATCCGGAAAGGATTTCAACTCTCTAACAACAATCCACAATAACCGCTCCAAAAGGGTTGTTGATTATGTCTATGTTGTATGTGCTATAACAATAATAATAAATAAATATTCGAACAAAGAAATAAAAATAAGGAAAACGATAATATTGTGGGAAATTATAGTCACCGTGGGAGGGCCAGTGCGGGGACGTGTGCCATTTGGGACGATATTTACACCGGAAAGCTTTCACAACACAATAAATTTCAATAATTATAAAGTAATATCTATCACCATGCCATTCCAGTTACTTAAATTTTAAATTATTTACGTTCGCTTTTAGCCCGTTGTATAAATAAACAGTTTGCGTGGTTGTGAATCGGACGTTTCAGGAAAGAGAGAGAAAAAAACAACCACAACTCTCTAAAGTTGCTCCGCTCGTTACAAGGTTGGATTTATTGATCGGTTTCTTTCTTAATTTTCCTTCACCGCCATTGCATTTGATCAAATTTACCTTCTTCTCTCCCCTCTCGAGTTTCAATCCTTCTTAAAAATATGGGTTCCTCTTCTCTGTCAGAAAACAGTAAGCAACAAGGTATGCAGTCTCTCTCTCTCTCTCTCTCTCTCTCTCTCTCTCTCTCTCTCTAGGTTTTCTTGAACTTTCCGGCCGTTTCGCTTGGAGTTAAACGAAGGGTTTATATATGTTTTAAATTTAATTATATGTTAATTAATTGGCATAAACCTTGTGATGTGTTTGTACTCAAATTGCTGATGCATGCAGAGAATAATGGTGGGACATTCGTACCCAACGAAGAGGACGTTCTGCAGAGACATGTAGCCTTCTTTGACAGGAATCACGATGGCATTGTTTATCCTTGGGAAACTTTTCAAGGTTTTTATTAATTGTTTTTTGCTTTTCTTCTTTAAAACCTGTATGCATGATCATTACTATTCATAATCTCTTTGTAATTAAACAAGTGATCGCGCGCGCGCGCGTGTGTGTTATATCAACAGGTTTTCGTGCGATCGGGTGTGGCATCATGTTGTCGACAGTCAGTGCCTTTCTCATCAACGCGGCCCTCAGTCGAAAGACTCGCCAGGTATCTCTCTCGCTCTCTCACTCAGCTCACTACGGTTATCATTCGCATATGCATCCGAAGTTCTAGGTCTGATTCACTTTCCGTGACAAATTGTTTAATAAGAAAAATGCTATAACTACAAAGCAATAGACTAGTTGCCGGCGGCATAGATTAAAATATCGTTCCCATATCAGAATATTTGTTTTATGGCTGTGCCCGTTCAGAAAGTGAAGCACATGGAGAATTACGAAATTTCCCATCATTTATTTTTGCTCGAACACTCACATCCACATGTTTGTAGATGGAATCGAACGTGGCGAATATCTTGTAGGGTTTATAGTGCTGGTGAAAAATGTTGATTTGATTAGCACTAGCACTAAAGCGCCTTTTGTGTTTACCTTACCAGAGAAGCCGGGATAAATTGTTTTAATTTTGTTGACGTGGTTACGTCAGTTCGGTTGCTTTAAAATAAAATAATGTTAAGAAGATTAAATTTATTAATAAAATTTTACAAACTAAATGACATAAAAGTTAATGATTAGATTATAATTTAAACGTTGTTAAACGTGTTTATTCTTATTGGTAATACATTATTTAATTTACAAATTTTTCTTTAAATTTAATTTCTCTAACATCATCTCTAAAGCAATATACTTGTAACAATTTCCGAGGTTTAATTCTCCGGTTCTATAGGTTATAATTGTTCTAAACAAAAAGGGAATTCTTCTACTTTTACTCGTTCGTTTACAAAATTTATCACTTATTGGAGTCCTCATAAAATTAAAGGAAAATTAATGAAAATTCCAAAAAAAAAAAAAGTTTTAATGAAAAATGACAAATAAAGATGTAGTAAATAGTACTAGAAAAATATAAAAATGTGATTTTTCGTTAAAAATGAATAGTACTGGGAATGTTTAATTAAAACTCTCTAAAATTAACGTAGGTTGCAACTTTTCTAAAAATATGTTTATTTTACACTATGTTATTGAATATTTGATTGAATGTGCGTTGTTATAAGAGAATTGTGACGCATTAAGCAAACAAAGAACATGTGTATTAGGGGAAATGAATTATGTCTAATTGTCTATGTCGACACATTTGCTAGTATTAAGGTATAAAATATTAATGATATCGGAAATATCGGTAGTCCAAAAACATAGAAATTTCGATGGAAATATCGGGATATTATCGATATCGATAAAAATTGAATAAAAACCTCGAAAATTGTAAAAAAAACTTGGAAATTTTTATTGAAACTTTGCATGATGTTTATTTAGTCAATTATCTATTAGTTTATCACAAAAAAAAATTGGAATGAAATGCATTGCATGATAGATATAACTGATTTAAGTTGATTATATAGCGAGCTGGGTAACATTGTAAGTAGAAAATATGTAGTAATTAATGAAAGAAGTTTAAACACACCATAATCATTTATATATAATGAATTAGTACAATATTTTACACTTTATACATTGCATGGTAAGATACATGAGTGACTTAGCAAAGTCTAAAATATCGATGATATCGGAAATATTGGTAGTCCAAAAACACGGAAATTTCAATAAAAATATCAAAATATTATGGATATTTTAGAACATGCCTAATATTACAATTTGTATACTATATATTACGTCGAGCGGAAGTGACGTGGCTTCTGTATGTTTGGTGCAGGGAAAGTTCCCTTCTCTACTTTTCCCAGTTGAAGTTAAAAACATCCATAAAGCCAAACATGGCAGTGACTCTGGAGTCTATGATAATGAAGGAAGGTATAATTATTAATTAATTAATTGATTAATTAATCTATATTTTGTACATATAATCTACTTCTTATATTATATTATATAGTCTGTCAGATCTTATATAATAAAATAGTTTTAATTGGTATAGCTTTTTTAAAAACGTTTTAGTGTGTTGGAACATGATCTTATACACTCAGCGAATCTAACCACTTGTATAATGAGAACCTAAATTTTTCTACACTCAGCATTGAATCCAACCAATTAAAACTATTTTCACAATCATTTATAAATTTTTAAAATTATTCTGCTTAAGTGCTTATTTTATAATGAACTCCCCAACTGTTGGTCGTGGTCGTTGTCACGTTTGGAATTGATATACATTTCTAACTAATCACATGCATGATAATAATTTCTTGCTTTTGGACTCCAAAATGAGCTGAGCTTCTTGTAAAGCTACGTTTGAGTTTATATTTAACAAAAAATGATTTTCACACATTCAAATTCTCATTTTACACACTTTGCTTATTTATATCAATTGATGTTCTTTTAGACTGACTCCAACCCTGGGCTATTTGCCAAATTTCCCGCCAAACACCACCCAACCCAAGCTAAAACATTGGGCTAAAAGGCCAAATCCCCCCCCCCCCAATCCTCGTGGACTTGCTTGAAATTGGGCCACTCTCGGCCCGCCCACTCGCAGACGCGCCGCATAAGCTTGCTTCGAATCTGCTCCCGACAAAGTAGGGGCCCGCTGTCATGCCCTGTTGGCCACTTCCCCCGAGCCTAACGGCTCTTTTCCCCATCCGACGGCCATCATTTAAGGACTGTTGGTTGATCCAACGGTCCATATTCAAATTTCATTTTTAAAAAATATGTTATTTTAAAATACATTGAATTCAACGGCTGAGATCGAATATAATCAAATCTAACGGTAAAAAAAAACTAACATCCCAAATTTAAATCCAACGACTAAAATAATTTAAAAAAATATATTTAACTCAAAATTCATCCAAAAACTCTATAAATACC